GCGCCACCGCCGGGCGGCGTGGCGAGGGGCGTCGTTCTCTTCGTCGGCGACGGAATGGGGATGAGCACCCTCACGGCAGCGAGGATCCTCTCGGGTCAACGTCATGGAAACACGGGCGAGGAAGCGCAACTCGCGTGGGACAGCTTTCCAGCCGTGGCACTGGCAAGGGTGAGTCCTCTTTCTCTCTCTCTCTCTCTCTCTAACTTCTCATCCTCCCCCTTTGCGCGCGTTCTACACTCGACTCGAGTCGAGGAGCGCGGAATTCCGAGGAAACCTTCCCTTCCCCCGAGACGTTCCCTCCACGTCTCTTTCCATTCTCTTCGAGGGAACGTTCCTCGATTCGGGATTTCCTTGTTACGTAGGACGAATCATCCTTGTCTCGAGATTGTCCTTTGTTCGTTTATATTTTGCGAGTTATCGCCCGAACGCAATTTATTCCAGCGAGCTAACGTTTTCCAGCTTTTCGACGTCTACGATATACGCATTGCAGCGTTTCCTATCGTATTATTCGTTGCGCATTATTCTCCATGACGCATCGCTGTCCTTTGTTTTCACCGAGGAGGATTTATATATATATATATCTGTAATTCGAGGCTGTTAAACACAGGGAGTAGCATCAATATTTTTTTATCTTATCTCTTGGCGTGAATTTATTATTTCCTAGTTTAGGAAACTGTGAAATTTCAAGGGCAAAACGATCTGTTAATCTCGTTTAATTTCGTTATACTGTTAAATACCCGTTTGATCAATAATCATCCTCCTTTTTTGCTCTTCGTTCTTTCCATTTTTATTCCTGCTCTTCCACTCGAAATAAGCGACACGAGGTTTCCACGAGAAACTCTCCAATAACGTTCCTTTCGGGATCTCGAGAAGGTGTATTCGAGCTTATTACCACGTCAATGTAAACGAGCATCTCATACCCCGAGAGGGAAACACCGATATCCCCTCAACGCCTCCGGCTTATCAACCTTATTTCCCATTTCTTTTCTCCAATTGTGTTCCAATTCGCAACGATAACACCTCCTCCACTTCTTCCCACTTCTTTCTTCTTCTTTCTTCACTCGTTTCCGCAAATCTTTCGAAATCTCTCGATCGTTCAAGTCGCGCCTCGTGGATTCGATCGCGATCCTGGAAGGAACTAATTAGAAGGAGCGCCATCAGGGGACGACTGGCGTTGGAATATTCGAGCGGATGGCACGATTGTTTGCCATCGGGAGTCGGGGGTCGATTCGAAATTGTGACCGCGGGGATTGGACGGGGATTGGTGACAAATTGCACGTGTACAGGTGCATCCTACGTTTCGCTTCATAATTACGCGGGGACAAGTTGAAACGAGCGCCCCCGGAAATGAGAAACGCGCCAAGGGCGAATCGACCCGATTAGAAAGAGAGTGCTACGAATTTCGTAATTTGCGCCCAGGCAAATTATCCTCCAAACCAAACTTCAAGTAGATTGCGTCCAAATATAAAATAAATATCCGCGAGAAATTTTCGATCCCTTCTTCTCGATTAAAGAAAAGTTTTATTCGCTTCGTTCGATTTCGAATATTTCGAAATGAAAAGACAGGCCTTTGTTCAATCAAGATAAAAAACGAAAAAACAGGAGATTTTTATCTCAGCTTGTTCGCGCACAACGGGCAACGAATAACGCGGGGACCAAATTCTGTTTACACGATCTGAATTTTCATTCGTTTGACGAGATGCGCGCTGATTGCAAATTCTTTTGCTCCCCGCGCGAAACGGAGACACGGGTAATTTCTAGTAGTAAAGGTCGAGGACGGGAGGGGCGCGTAATACACGCCGTGAGTAAATTTCTCCCCTTCGTTCGACGCATATTCGCACGCCGCCGCATTTATTTCGCCCCGCGTAATCCAATTTGCATCCGGTTACTCCTTTACGCCGCGTCTACTTTTCCATCCGAAATATAAGCTGGTTCTCCGGGTAGACCGAGCCCTCTCTCTCCAACTTCTCCCGGCAAACTTTATCGGGGGATTTCCAGCTTTCGTCCCCGACATCGGTTTACGGACTTGCTTATTATCCGACCTTCTCTATGCGTGGACAAACTTTCCACCTGGATCCTTCTCTCTCTCTCTCTCTAACTCTTGGAAATCACCTTGGAAAATTTACGTAATTACCTCGATGCAGTTCTAATATCCGTGTTCATTTTAAATTCGAGCGAAACTGGATTAGCTCCAAAGTCAAAAGTCTCTCCTCTTCAATTAACAGTACAAGAACTATGATTTATCTAGATTTATCTATTTATCTTTCCATGTTTCGGTTCTTTCTCAGATCGTAGTCGAAGTCGAATCGATCGAAGTATCCTTTTCTCCCCAAAAATTCCTCATTCACGCGCAAGATCATCGCGTTTTCGAATTGACGAGAAGAGGTAATCGAGCCGTTGTTTACGATGGATTTTCCGCGGACAAAGGGGGAAAAAATAGGTTCGCATTTTAACGGGATAAAGTACGATTGTACGAGCGGAGAGAAGCGAAAATTTTACGTTCGATCGAGCGTAATTAATCATACGAAATAATTTTTCCCTCGTTTAATTGATACATTACGTGTAGGAATAGCGGAGGTTGACGGTTTCTCTCCAAGTCCTACTAGTTTTCGCTCCAAGAGTCGTGTTTATTATCCCGTTGATGCAATCGAGTTTCAAAAGGAAACGCAGCTCGATCGATCTCGAACGAGGCGGTTTCCAACTTGACTAAACTAAACTACGTGTTTTGAAATCTACTGATTTCACCTCTGTCGAATATTCTTCTTACGTTATTTTTCGGCCAAGTAATTGAGAATTGCTCGTCGAATGGAAATATCCGGATATTCGTTCGCGCGGAGACGAAAAAGAAAGAAAGAAGAGAAATCGAAAATGTATTTTACGGTTGAAATAAGCAGTTGTTGTATCGACACTTTTTTAATATAACTCTCTCTCGAGTTCTTTGCGACTTTCCCCTTTTTTATTTCATTTTCGTACTTTCAAAGCGCCTTTCTCCTTTAAAGCTTTGCCCTCTGCTCCTCCCTTGCCGCTGCAGTTCGAAAATGGACAAGATCGGAAAAAGTTTTTCGCGCAGTCCTTCAGGACTCGGAAGACTTCGATATTGCCTACACAGTCGCTTATTATTCTTCGAGAGTAACCTAAACTTCTTCGAGCAGCATTCGATAGAAAACAAGCTTCCTTCGTAGATACTTGCCGGACCAAAATCTTTAACCAAACTTTCCAACGTATCCGCGTATATAAAAATTTATATACTTTTTCTCTAAAATAATCGTCCCTCCTTAAAAAGAAACTTGTTTTAACGCGGTGATGATTCAATTTCGATTCCGTGAATTTGATTAAACGCGAGGAAGTGACGAAAAAGAAGAAAATTTAAAGGGTTCCTTCCGCCTCTTATTAAACGGGGGAACTCATTTATTAGTAGATCCAACCTAAAACCGTTTCTCGAAAAAGCTACCTCCTTTCCTCCTCTACTCTTTCCCCTTCCGTTTTTCTTAAACTTTGCAAGTAAGTCCTTCGAGGTTTCCACCACTTTTCCAAAGCTGACCAAAAGCCTTCTTATTATCGTATAGATGTAAAAGTTTTCCTTTCTAAGGAAGAAAGTCGAACTCGATTCGTGTAGGGACAGATTTTTATAAAACCTTCTTTCCCCCCTCCTCGCGCACACTTTTAATTTATTTTTTTCCCTACCCATATTAACTCGAATATTATCTGCTTTCTTTCGTTTGTTTGAAATTTCTTGAATAACGTATATGTCTCTTCGAACGTAGAATTTTATAAT